AAAGGGGGGTGTTGCACTTTTCTTAATATTTATGCACTTGCATTTGCACAAGCATACCAATGAGTTAAGGCACACTGTTCGTATAACATTTAGAAACATGCTAACTGTCCAAAGCCTGTTTATTCCTTGTTGTTAGGATGATACCTTTTGGCCAAGTTTGACTGCGGTGCTAATGAAATGTGCCTTGCATTTTTAAAAGAAATTTATAACAATAAATGTGTACCACTCGTATTTCCTTATTTTTCATCTACTCTTTTTTCCTCTGCGCATTGCTTTCCTTTGCCCCCATAACAAACCCATTTTAGAAAGGCAGGAAGCATTCGTCATTACCTGAATTAGATTGCTAACAATTCCAACTAAAATGAAGACAGTGTTGTCTAGCATGCTGATGCCGTTTTATTTGGACACTAAATTTAATGTAATAGATACGGACAGAAACTCTCCTAGACTACAAATATTTCAGCCACACACATAGCCCCTTCAAAATTACCACTTAGTACTACCACAAATTCACTCTGAAGAGCAGAAATTGTGCTCTGGCCAATAGAAAAGTCACCATAATAGAAATAAAATATAATGTAGCCACAGACTACATCTTATTCCCACTGTACAAATGGAATGGGGCTAATGACAGCCCCAAATGAGGTTTCATTTGTTCTGCTAATTGCTTAATTATTAGAGATGGACCTACATCAAAATCTTAGGCATGTCAGATTAGGGCACAGTGGCTTAGGCCCATTTCTGCCGAGGCTCAGAAAAGATTCTCTGTTATCTATGACTTCAGAAGCAAACCATTTGTGCCTTTTCCCTACAGACTTCTTTGTCTTTTGCTGTTATAGGAATGTTATTTTTTTTGTCCTTAATAGTGTGAATATACAAATCTTCCACTTTCAACATAACAAAGAAAGAGTTCTAGAGACTGTTTCTACCTATGTTTTGTTTAGCCTGCCAGAGGCTTAAAAAAGGTGACATTTCCTTGTTTTGGTTTCATTCTGGAAAAAAAATTCTGATATTGAGCAGTGGCCTTTTTATTTGGACAGTATGCATGGAATGTACTTACTTTCCTTTCATTTATACACATCCTTTTGCTGACTGCCTGCATACAGAAAAGGAACATCAGTTCTTTGAAATTTCAGAAACACATCAAAAAACCTCTGAAAGCTAATCTGGCAGTTCACTTTCCTTTACTCGTTTAAAAAAAATCAATGCTACTAGTTACTATCATTATGTGCCACTGTTGTTCTCAAACCTGTTCCTTGCTGACAGCGTTTCTACACATGCACATTCAAAAACAACTGCGTCTGCTGCTACCTGTATTTCAGAAGGCAGAAGGTTTGCCGTCTTTCCTGACAGATACATATTACGCAGGCTGGTTGTTAGCCTTGCAGAAAAAAGCTGGCCCATTGCAAAGGTGATTTGTGCAGATTGATTCCTGATAAACTGCAGTTTTTTCCCATGAAAAAATTAAGTAAATAATGTCCAAAGTTAAAAATATGCCCCATGACTTGGAAGCAACAGTAACCTAACTGTAACAGTAATCTAAGGATGACCTTGTAATTGATGTGAACACTATATTATACACACAGTTCTGGATTTCATTGTTTAAACAGAATATGTGCATATCCAGAATCTTCAGATATTCCCTCTGAAAGCAGTATATCATTTGAAAATACCAGTTGCAGAAAGAATTTTACAAATATAAAGTTCCTAACTGAAATACTACAAAAAAGCTGTGCCTTCAGATTTAAGGCTTTCAGACACATGGCACAGCCACCAACTTTTTAGCGCCACTGGCGCCGATATCTGTGACAGGGATAGCAGATTGAGACTACAGTGTGAAGTAGAAGACCTTTGAGAAATGTCACTAGCAGTTAATGACTGTAAAATAGAGGAGCCACAGTCCCATAAATCTATAATATGGGCTTTTCTATTTACACAAATCCTACATGACACTATTAATGTGACTGGATACATAGTGCTTGGCAAAATCATCTACGGCTTTAACGTAGGCTTAAGACATTTTCCAAGATGGCACATTACATATATATAAAACACAGTTAATTTTAAAAAGTAACCCAGAAGAATATTGCAAGTAATGTGGTATAAACGCAAAGTGTTTATGAGGGAAAAATATTACTTTGCTGGAAAATAAAGTCCTGTAAGTCGAGTTTGGCACTACTTAATCACTATGTCACTTTCTTTTTGATTGCAGACAGCTCTTTCTGAATCTCACTGAATTTTGGTCGGTTTTCAGGTTTGTAGTCCCAGCATCTCTGCATTATTTTATATATTTCCTCTGGGCACTTCTGAGGTGTTGACATTCGATATCCTGACACACAAAGATAAAAGGGAAAAAAAACGGTACTGCAAAAGTAGTATAAATTGAACAAATAAAAAAAAAGAAATACAAGGATTGATAATATAAAATGAGGAAGGTGAGTTCCCTAAGGTCACTACATACAGAATTTACATACTGTCTATGTATAAACTGGACACATTATGGAGATATTTCACAATATGTTTAGTTTCTTGGCTGGCAAACTAAACCGCAGATACCAACAGTGGCTGAATTCCTGTTGTAGGCCTTGCACCACCTACAGCTGTAATCTATTTGAAGCTTTGCTCCCCCATTTCCTAGGAAAATGCCTGCCTGCTCCTCTTTGTTTGAGTTTCTATTTTGGGAAGTCATTAATAAATTAAACTTATCATAAAAAATATGAATTTCCCTACTGCCCTTTTCTGATGCTTTTAATTTTTTTCCTACCCTTACATCTCTTACTGTCATTTTTCTCCTTTATTTCCTTTGCCATTCCTCATTTATTCTTTTTTATTTTGAAGAGAGAAATACCCTTTCAACTGCCTCTTATTTTGCTGTAGTCTCTCTCTTACATCTTTACTCTGTTCTTTTTTCACGGCTCTTTCCCGTTTCTACTATTTGCCATCTTCCACTATATTTTCACTATGTTCACTCATTAGTCAAAGACTGACTGTAGTCTAAGGCATGAACAATATAAGCTATGTGCTGTAGCTCATGGAGAAAGGACAGCTCTTTAACTGCTGATGCTTGTCCTCACTAATGTATAGTTTTTCAGGATGAGCAGCAGGATGAGCTGCATGGCAAGCTAATATGAGAGTCTACATAGCAGGTCCAACCCTGTACATCCAGGCATTGCTACCAATTTATTTGTTTTCTTGTTTTAAAACAGAACATAGCTATGCTGGTACAGCAAGTCAGGGGAATTTGAGGTTTATTTTCCTTTTACTTTATTGTAAATATGTTGCAGACTGTAGATTAAAACTAGTTGTATAGCTTCTACTCCAATACTTACTCAAAAGTTATTATATAGACTCAAATATAAGATGAGCCCCAGCCCCGCCATGAGCATGGGTAAAAAAGCCTCCCATCTTATATTCACATATGAAACAGAGGGGGGAGGTGGCAGTGGCGACGGTGGCTGCTGCTGCTGTGGCTCTGACTCTGACCATGATCCCAGGTCAGAGTCAGACGCACAGCAGCCCCCCCCGCCTCCCGGCTTTATTGTCAGGCCCAGCTCAGCTCTGGCTTGGGCTGCGGTCTCTCCCAGGCAGGAGCACATGGAAACTCCTTCCTCTGCCTGGCCAATAAGAAGCACTGACACTGTTGCTTGGCTGGACAAGTGCTGTGCTCTGGGATGGAGCAGCCTGAGCAGTGTCTGATGATTACAAGGGGGTGGGAGGGAAGAGACAGAGACTGGAGAGAGTGGAAGGAGGGGCAGAGGCTGCCGGGAGCTGGGGTTGGGGGGTGCAGGTGGCAGGGGGGAAGAAGGCTGCAGGGGGAAGAAATAGGTGGGGCAGAGGGCAAGGGGGCTGCCCGACTCTTCCCCTGGCACTACTTCTTGCTGTAGCAGTGTGCGCACATGTGTGTGTGTTGGGGGGAGAGAGATTCAAGACCACCCTCCAATACTTAGATTCTATACCTGGAAAATTATAACAAATTTGTAAGTTTTTCATATATAGAATGTAATTACGTGGGGTGGGGCACATCCTATATTCAGGTAAATATGGTAATCTCTTTTTGAGTCTCGCAATCCTATGTTTCAGAGCTTTTGCTGGGGGGTCAGGAAGGAATGATTTTCTATCATGAATGTTACTCAACAGTTAAGAAAGGGAGTGTGAGGGGTTGACTGAGGTCATTCGCTTGCCTGTATTCAAAAAACTCACTGGCTAGACAGTCTTGCTTTTTGACCAGGGTCACAAATCACCAGAATTGTTCTTCTACGTCAGATTTGCATGGAACGGGCGAGGGAGGCCAAGCAGTTACTTTCCACTGTAGCATAGGGCCCAGTTGTCTCACTGGGATCTTCTAGGCATCAGCGGTTTCTCTGTCCCCACAGTGGATTAGCAGTGTCCTCATCTCCTCTGCTCTTACCTACAGCATGTACAGGGTTTTCTTGGTTTTGCGGGGTATTGTGCCTTATAGCTGTGTGTGAAGTTTAAAGCAGTCATGTTGGGGAATCCTTGGGTAAATTTTTGCCTGTGAACACAAGGGACTGGACTCAAGAGACCCTTCCAGTCTTATGTCCCTATAATTAAAGGGGCTTAAGAAATAGTTTCAGTAAAGCCCTATCCAGCCCAAAGCTGTTTCCCCAGTTGACAGCCCTTCAAGACTGAGAGCTGTTCCCTGTCTGGAACGGCACCTCTCCCCTTAAGAGTAATGACAGATACTTCTGTGGTCACAAGTCTACTTTTCCCAGCTTCTAACAGCTTTGTTCATGCGATGCAAACTTTTATGGGAGTTAAAAACCTAAAGCAGGCTCCCAGTGGTGGAGCTATAAATGGAGATAGTCAGCTAGGGACCAAGAAATCTCCCCAGATCTTCCCCCTCACTACTTCAAAAATAAAACCCTGTATCTGGTGGGATGAAGGAAACACCCCTGGTACAGAGCAGTCACCCTTTTTAAAAAAAGCCCATGAACAGGGTTGTTGAACAGCCAAGAATATTATACTGCCACAGATAACATCTATATCTTTTCTGCTGGGCCTGTTGTCGGTCACTTCCATATTTCTGGGTGTAAACACGGATGAATCTCACGACTTAGCAGTTATACCTAACAGGAAGCAGGGCTTTTTTTTTTTTTTTATAAGTTCTCCTCTGCTTAAGCAGTTTTGTGACACTGATATGCAGCAGTGATATTTTTGGTTGCGGCTGTGGATCTTTTTCACTCAATCAGGTCTTCAGTCAGCAATCAACTCATATTCTAGGTCAAGTGATAGTTATAAAAACTTGGAACCATATAAAGTCTCTGTTTACGAAAATAACGCCCAATTATGTCAATATAGGTCGCATAGTAAAGTGCAATGTGATGGAGGACAATGTTTTAACAATGTCACTGGGAAAGAGGAACTCAGGGACCAAATATTCTAGACAAAAGTGTTTATGTTTGTAATAAGAGGCTTTTAATCACTTTATAAAATAAAAATCTAAGGACTCGCTATTTGGGCCAATTTGACTGGAGCATCTCTGGACTATTTTTTAAATAAAATTTTGGCCAACTGCAAAAGTTTTACTAAAAGAAGATGTGGACAACAGGAGTCTCAACATTTTGGGACATTAACCTTGAAATGAACGCCAGCTTTCTTGATAAGAGTGTGTTCAACTAACCCTTTATGTGTTCCTCTCATTCTCATCATTTCCCTGATGCTCTGATACTTGGAGCCCCTCCCTGACCAAATCAAGCAGGCCTTTACCTTCTCTTCCTAGTACTACTCAATTCACCTTTTTCCAAGAAGCCCATAAGCCCGTTCTCACAGGAGGTTCCTAATAAATTAGATGGCTAAACATCCAATAATGAAAACAAAATCAGACAACACTATTTTGGAACTAACATGACATTTGCTAATGTTACTTAATCAGTCTGTCACTACTTCCCATTCCCCATTCAGATGTTGTCTATTTGGATTAGAGACATGGTCTTCCTACAGATCTATAAAGTACCCAGCATAAGATGGCATCCTATAAATAACAGCCACAACAATTACCTTTCTCCACTTGTTCTCGTGCTTGCTGATTAGTCATTCCAGGGTATGGACACACTCCTAGACTGAAGGTCTCCCACAGAAGGATCCCAAAGCTCCACACATCACTCTCAGAAGTGTATCTCCCTAAAGGAAGGAAAAAATGGGTAACATAAAGAGATTGTACATTTCTTGCATGGCTAACATTACCCATTTTGTGAGATTAAGTGTAATATCTGAACTGTAGCTTTTAATGAACACATTCTCAGATTTCAAGTGATTAGCAGCCAGTTAATTGAAGACCAAATATTTAGAAACAATATACAAGTTCTAGGATTTGATGGACAGCTGTGTTATTAGATATACAGATTTATGCAGGGCACAAGGCTAAGAAAATGCAAATGACTGGATTCCTGCTATTTTGTTTTCCCAATGAATCAAGATCTCCTTTTCCCTAATGTCCAGTAACTTTTGAAAGGAAAGAAGGGAAAAGATTAAACTTTCAGTGTCTCTGAACTCTGTGAATACTTTGGTTTCTTAACCAACTAACCTTTTTCAATTCCCAATGGAACATGACAATCAGTAATTTAACGAGCAATTAAACGGAAGGCAGCACATAAATAAATACATAAAATAAAATTAGCGTTCGGAAAGAAGTTAAAATTGGCATAGCTGTTATTAAGATCTTCTAAATGTGACAAAGCATGCTGTCAGGCCAAAGTTTTTTTTAATGAATCAGCACTGTACACTAAACAGCTCTTGGAATAGGGTTTTTGTAGTGTCTGAGAGTGGCTTTTTACTGTGACAAAAGCCACCAATCCACACATGCCTTATTTTGGACAGTGGGTACTTTATCATTGAGAAAAATGAAAGCAACCTCTCTTATCACCCTTGAAATTTGAAATTTAAAGATCCATTAAACCATATCAAGTATAGAGAAGCAGTTTTCCCCACAGTCGCCTGTTTATAAAATAAAAAGGCTAACGTTTTCAAAAGTGCTTTTGACCGTCTCTCCTGAAGTAACCTAAAATAAGGGACCTATTTGTCAAAACTGGTAAAAAAACATCGTATGAAAATAGGGCATTTTCCCAGTGTTTGAACTACATTAAACTGAATTTAAATACTCCAAAATCACTAATCATTTTTGAAAATTTTGGCCTACAATTTTTACTCGTGAAACCTAAATTGTGCTTTAAATACAATAGAAGTTTAGTTCCTGAAGCCCCGGGTTAAAGAAAAGCTCTGTGGTTAGACTTCTGATGCTCTGTGGAGAAAGAGACAGCTCCTGGGAGCTTAGAGACAGTGTCATCACAGTGGTCAAAGGCTGTAATGCCTCTATTTTCCCTGTGTGGATTCCCATCTAAAAAGCAAGCTTGAGTAAGGAAGTGAATACAGAAATATAACAATTATGACACCATAAAACAAACAATATATTTGCAAGAGTCTCTTAAAAATGCACATATGGGTCTAGTACTAAGAGCACTACTACACAATAAAATGCCTGGGGTCTTGGGCCACAGGAAAATCTGCATATGCTTGTGCACTGGTAATCAGTTCTTGACATTTTAACACACCATTTCTTTTTTTTGTGTGCATCTTGCTCCACACTCCCGCTCTGCCCCATTTTCAGGACTGCTGTGTCTTGCCGATGCATACAGATTATTATTTTAAACCTAGGATATGTTTTTCTTTTTACAGCTCAAATGAAGTACATGTAAATGATAGTGACAGTTGGGGCTATGTTAACTGTTCTGACGTCAGGAAGTTTGGTTTGCACTTAAACTAAATATCATCTCCAGCTGTGTTAAATTAGCTTGCCTGCCTAGTAGGCAGTAATTATGGACATTCACTGTGCTGCTGGTGGTAAGATTAGTTTTCTTGTCTGTATATCAACTCTCTTCAGAGTTTGGCATCCAGTAATTTAACACTTTTCATTAAAGTCATTCAGTGGATACAAGTTACAAGTAATTAGTTTCTTAAGAAAGTACAAGTTTAGAAGAGTCAATTACTTTCTCAGTATGATGATATCTGGGCAGAGAAAGGGCATGCTGTTTATATATATGATTATTTATTAGCTGTATAAAGAAGTGAAAAGAATTATAGTGGATGATCACATTAAACAAATGTATATGGTATGGATTTTTTTTTAAGAGCACCTACATTGTAAGTGTAAAATGAACAAACTTTGGCCTGCGTGTATAATTTTATTGGACGCTTTTCAGAGTATTGAACACTGATTTTAGTTAGACAACCCCAGATGAAAACAATGGGGGGAAAATCCTAGTCCTATTGAAGTTAGTGACAACCACTCCAGCTAAGTTCAGTAGTAATGGGGTTTAACTCTAGGAACCTCCTGACTAGTCTCAGAATATACAATTTTGAAGCTATTTACAAAAGCTTAAGTTTTTCTCCATTTCTATAATAACTGTACATGGTACATTATTGCTGCCCCTCTTCCCACAGTAAAAATGTGATAAACATTTTGACTGACACACAAAGATGTGGATCCTTGTTAATTCTTGCTCCATTTTCTCTTCCTGATGCCTAAAAAAACCCTGCATATACTTGCAGTCATTTTAACAAATCTTGTATGCAATTTTCAACTAAACAGCAAGCTGTGCACCTTTGTATCACACATTTGAACAATGCTGAAATGAGTGAGAACATCTTTGATAGTTTTGTAATGTTGGATACCTGGCTAATAAGCAACTTTTGTGACTTTAACAAAAGTCTGAAAAGCCAAATATGTCTGAAAACAATCCAAATTACATTTTTAAAATATAAATATTGTTAAGTAAGACTATAATTCACTTCAAACTAATTAGGAATGTATTTACTTACTGTCTTCCAAATACTAATCTGCTAAGTGGAATAAAGCTGTGTGTTCCACTCTACTGAAAGCCAGGGAGAGTAGCAAATGCAAGCAGAAGAGCAACAAAATAATGGAAGTCTCCCATTCATCCTAACACTGAAGAAGCATGTACACAGTTCAGAAATACGGTATTACTGGGATAAGCCTGTGATTTCTTTGCAAGATCCCATGTCTTAAACTAATGGATTTTTTGGACTAACGTTAATGCTGTTAAAAAGCTATGCTAGTACATCTGCACAAATGGCCTGATAATCAGAGGTGTTGAGCTTGCAATTTCCACTGTATTCACTAAAAATTATTCACGCATCTGTAAATCAGTTCATATTTCATTCATTTCATATTTCACTGAATATACAAAGACTTGTCAATCATTTCCTTTCTGTATCTCAGCAGTGTTTCACCATAAAATGAGATTAATTGAAGAGACCAAGCTTAGTCCCAGTAACGATATGACACTTGTTCTTGTCCAAAATCTATTTATTAGTTGGTAGCAGGTTGTATCCCTATTCTCTACTCTTTATGTACCTGACAAGCTGCCAGGTCTCTCCCTTTTTGCAGCCAGTCTAGTAATGATTTTATGTTTTACTGCCTACTGAATAAATGTAAATACTTCTTGAAATTAAAACAAACAGAAAGACCTACATTTCCACACTGAATGAATGCACAAAACAGTAACAGTTCTGCAACCTGAGCAGTAGCAACAAAAAAGCACCTCTCAGTACATACAATAACCAAGGGCAGATGCCCTTTAAACAGCATGTTAATGATTTTCCAGAGGGAAAACTTCTATTCTCATGCTGCTAAGTTCAGTGCTGTGCAAGAGGTAGTCCAAGGCCTGCTTATACCTTATTTGGACCCTATTTTGTGGGTTAAGTGGCATTCAAACATGATGAACAGGTCATAAGATGGCTCTTTACAAATGGGTGAATTTTACTTGTAGGAGCCATGCTGTGAATCAAAGAATTATGGCTCGCAATACAGTTTATTAATCAAAAACAGTGTATAAATGGCCAGGGATCCAGATTTTCCATTTGCTGCAGAAAAAACTCAGTAAAACCCAGATTTTTTTTTCATTTTAAGGAGAAAAATCTGGATTTTCTCATTTAGAGGAGAAAAACAGGAAATGGTGGATTTCCCCTTGCAGACTGACAGTTTCAGTCTGCAAGGGGCAGGGGGGAGCGGGAGAGGGGTGACTAGGCAGGGGTGCCATGGGCATGTGCACACATACACATGGCCACCAGGCAGCCTAGAGAGTAGCTCCCAGCAGGTAAGTCTGGTGGTGCGGGAGGGGGAATTGAGCCCTCCATAGTGTAGTGAGGGATGGAGTTGGGCAGGGCTGGGGATGCTGCCCAGCCAAGGCGGTGCATGGGACTTGGGTCTTGAGGCCTAGAGCTGGAATGCATGATCTCAGGGCCCAGGCAGGGAGTGGGATGTGGGTGGAGAGTGAGGGGCATTGACAGGGCCCAGGGGCCCAAAGGTGGGGAGTGAAGGGCACCAGCAGGGCCCAGGGGACTATTTGTGGGGAGTAAGGGGCACCAGCCAGAGGTGGGGGTGCTGTGGGTGGGGAGTGAGGGCACCGGCAGGGCCTAGGGGGTTATGGGTGGGGAGTAAGGGGCATCAGCAGGGGTGTGGGAGTGGGAGTGGGGTGGGGAGTGAGGGGCACCAACAGAAGTGAGGAGGCTGTGGGTCAGGAGTAAGGGGAAATGGCATAGGCAGTGCATCAGCATATCAGGGCTGCTCAGCACCACAAAGCTGGTGCTGTAGCTGGACCTGAGTCCTGGTGAGTGAAGGGGGCAGTGGGAGCTCTGATTTTCCATGATAAAAAACCCAAAATCAAACACCAAAATTAATACATATTTAGAATTTATTTTATTATCGTGTTTGAGACACTGGTAGGCTTCCACATTGCTTGAAAATTGTAAATATATCAATAAAACGTGTTCAACTGATACATACACAGAGAGAGATTTCATATTAATCATGGAAAAACATGGAGTTTGGCAGCAGGGGGTTGGGGTAGGGGGGAAGTTTAATCAGAGAATTTGTGATTTTTGATCAGAGAAAACCAGGATCCCTGTGCATGACACACACACAACCCAAGCACCAACTTCTAGCTCACATACTGCTTAACTGCCTTTTTCCTAATTAGAACATATTTTCTAATTTCACTTAAAAAAGAGCCCAATCTGGCTTTTTCTATTTTTGTTCTCAAGCTATTACCCATCATGTTATGGGCCATTTCCCTCCACCCCCAAATAGCACCATTTTATTTATTTTCAAGACAGCAGAAAGATGCATATAATTGCAGGTTAAAACTACAAGTTTTAAAATACATAAAATCAGTTACAAACCTCTTCTTCCAGGATTTATGTAATTGAGTTTTTAGGGTGTTAAAATTATCTCCAGTTTTCTGAATAAAGCTAAAACGATCACCACCATAATTTTGAGGGACCTCATGCTCATGTTACTAATGATTATCTTTGGATGAATGACTTGGTAGCCAACTGCAATGATTTAGCTGCTTGCTAAGCATTATTACACACGCATAATAATTGTTAAATCAGTAGCATTTTAGTACTCTGACTTTGACTTCGTGGACGGGAAAATGTTTACTGCAAGGAAAAGGAAATCTTACCTCTGGAAGTATAATACATAGCCGTAATTGGACTGACACAACTGTATTTACACTGACAAGTTTTAACTGTTTGTTCCTTTAAATGGGACAAAGCAAAAAACTACATTTTTATTCAGACCATGGTACGTACCCTCTATACCTTTTTGTTTTAGGCAGGGCTCATTCGACAATAAATGGTTTAAGATGATACCTACTTACCATAGTTGAGAGCCTCTGGAGCAGTCCATTTAATGGGAATCTGCTTCAAGCCTGAAGATGAATATACTCCGTCATCCTCTTGACGAGACATTCCAAAGTCACTGATTTTCAGGATATTATTTTCACCTACCAGGCAGTTTCTTGCAGCAAGGTCCCTGAGTAAGAATACGATACAGAAAACATCCTGTTACAACTTGAAAACATTGTTCTATTACATTTGCAATGCATTTATAATTGATTACCACATAAGAGATCAGGAAAGCCAGGGAACTATTTCTACCATGTCTAGGTCAGAACAAGACTTTCCACTAAAAAGAAAAAACTATTCAGTAGCAGCAACAAGTCTTTGGGTCAGCAATGAAAACGAACCCAGCAAACTCAGTGTTCAGAAAATGACTCGTAACCAGATTATATTTTTAGTCCCACAGCAACATTTTTAAAGAAAAATATAATTTTAGAAAAGTTTGAAACAAGTATTTACTTTTTATACTACTTTCTATGGCATTGCAATAACTTCTGAGAAACCAACAGTTGTTTGTTTTCAGCCTGGATAGCTAGTATGCTAACAAACAGGTTGCTAGACATAAATAATCAAGAGAACCTGAAGATAATTAATACTATAAATTATAATTCGCTTTTAAATGTGTAGCTATGTTATTCATATGCAGCTGGTCAGCCAGTAGGAGGTCTGAAACACCTGTGCATCCCCACATCTGATCCTGCTGATGTCACACTAATGTATGAAGAAGTCAGTGAAGTTACTCCACTTTAAGAGAGGCACTAGATCAGAATAAGGCTCAGCAAATATGCAATTCTTTACAAATTATTAAATTAATATGAATGAGAGGCACATTTAGTTGTCTAAGGCCCCCTCTGCACATGCACATAAATGCAGGAGGTGTGACTGTGGGATTGCACATTAAATCCAATCATGCCTTATTACTGGAGTAAGGGGAACCTGATCCTTGGCTCCCCTAGCACTGGCAAGAAGCAGGCTCCTACAGCTGGGAACCCCTTTGCTGAGGTGGTTTTCAGCTGTGATGGCCATGTGCAGCTGGCACAGAGTCCTTTGCCTCATGGGGCTCTTGGTCCCAGCTGTGCGTGTGGTGCAGCAGGGACCAAGAGCCCCGTTAGATGCAAGACTCTCAGTCCCCACTGTGCCACATGGGGAGCTGGGACTGAGACCCCTGTCAGCTACAGGCCTCACCCTCTGCAGCCATGGGATGCTGCTGTGGTTTCCCAGCTGTGGGTGGGGGTGGGGGGGGTGAAGTGCTCCATGGCTGGGAGATCACAACAGCTGCCTACATGTGCAAGCAAATTAAAGCTGGATAGAAACCAGCTATCAAGTTATTACACACTTTCAAGCAATAGCTTTATAGCTGGCTGGACTTCTAAAGTCATAGTTAATTTGCACATGTAGCCCATCTATGTTTATTGCGCAGTTAACAAGGAAAATGCACAATAGATGTAACATGGAGAGGGGGCCTGAGTGTGTGTACAACTGTTAGGTGCATCTGGTCTATGTCAGCATGGCTTACTTTAAGCTGCATGACAAGACTAGGAGGAGTGTGTACAGCCATTTGCTGGTGTTAGGAGCTGTGTGGGGCATCTTGTGCAAGTAACCCTAGGTGGGGAGAAAGGGGAGGTGGGATCGGGGGGGGGGGCTGGTGGCTCTGTGGGAGGTAAGGGGGTAGTGGGTCCATGGGGGAGTTGTCTGTCCAGTCAGGGTTGGGCAGGAGGTACGGAGGTAGGAAGAACAGAGCCCTAGGGCTGCGCTCCAAATGTGTACAGGCATTTTATAGATTCGTGTAGTGGATCCAGACCCTGGGATGGCTGTGATGCCCCCTGGTGGCCAAGCACTTCCTCTTCCACTCCAGCTCCTTGGGGACCCTCCCTTCTTACCTTGCCTGTTGTGCCTTGATGAAACTTCTATAATGTCTAGGGAGGTTGCCCCAGGGTCCCAGAGTATGACCCAGTTCACTTTAGCCAGCGGGTACCTCCCATACCCAGCTGGCCTCAGCCTTGCCCCCTCAGGCATCAAGTTATGGCCCTCTTGGCCCTATCAGTGCATCAAGGCACCAGCTGCTTTATGGGCTATATTCTTGGCCTCTGTCCTCCCCTACAGTCATGCCCATGCCATACTGTATTAATCTGGAGGGAGGCCCATGGCCCCAGTGCAGCTTTTGGCCTTCAGACTGTAAAGCTTTGCCCAGGCTTTAGTTTTCCCAGCTGTGCCCCTTTTATTCTGGCTGAGCCCCTCAGGCCAGGCCCACTGCCCCAGACCTTGGCTCCTGGGCCCCAGCTCTGTCTCACGCTCATGGGCTCCGAGGCCCTGGCCCTGTCCTGCACTCATGCTGCAGACCAGTCCTCTGGACCTCTGACCCTGAGCCAGGCTCCTTTTACTTTGTATGGCCTTGGCCCTCCCAGCCTTTGTCTAACTCACCCAGCCCTCAGCCCTTGGAGTCCCAGACCCCAGGCTAGGCTACAGAATGCCCCACTAGGCATCTCTCCATGGCATCTTTCCTACCCTGCAGCTATAAGCTGGACCTCCAGTACCAAACTTAAATGCAACGCAACACAAATACAAGCAGCCACTTCTGAACTAAAAGTCTTCCCCACTTTGGGTCAATGTCACCGTGTAAGCCATATTTCCTGTGGAGCCTTTTCCTCCCAGCTCTCTTGGGTAGCTTGAGTGCCTGGTAGTCAGTCTCCCACAGCTCTCCCAGGAGCACTGCTGCCTGCAGCATGCAGGGCCAAAGTACCTCCCTGGTTTCAGGCACTGGGCTTATGTGCCCCAGAGCACTGTCCCTTCCAGTCATATGACCCCCTAGCCACACACAGGAGTTTCATCCCCTTTTGCCTAATGGCCAGCCTGCCGTTCCCCACTGCAGCCTAACCCAGCTGCTTGCAGTGTTCACTTTCCAGCTGTGTGGCCGCCTGTCCCACAGAGCAAGCTTTAGCACAACTAGCTTTTGCTCAGCTGCCAGCCCATCCAGCAAGGTTGGCCTGCTGCACTTTCCCCTTAAGGTAACAAGAGCCTCTAGCTTCCTGTTACAATTGGGTTACCCCATTCCCAATTTAAATTAGAACACCTCCTCAGGTGAACTAATTTAGATTGGGCCTGCCATTTTTTTAACTTTTTTAAATGCTTTCACAGATAGGCATTGAGATTGACCTAACTCTAGCTAGCCATTGATGTAAATGTAACAGTTGGACATACCCTAGGAGTACATTCCTATGACTGAAATAGGTCAGAAAACTGTAAAATAGAATCAGGAGGTTTTGGTGCCTCTACCCATATAAAAGGTGCCCCAAATGGCTCCAAGGACTAGGGGTGAAATCAGCTACACTGGAGTCAACAATGGAGTTTTGCCATTGCCTTCAATAGAGCCAGGATTTCACTTAAGGTGTGTGCAGGGTCTGAAATAGAAATCAATAGGGCTAGTCTCTAAAAGCATATGAAAAGGCTGATTAAAATGACAGCATTTTTCCTTAGCTGAATCAGACATGAATTTTAAAAGTGTTTTTGGTTTCATCTGAAAAAAGTTCTATACAGTGAGCTGATGCTTTTTCCTTGATGCTTAGTCTACTTAGAAACTCATAAAATATATTTGAAATAGGTCCTGATTACAATATTTAATAGTCCCTTATACTTACAATCAGGGCAAATGATCTGCATGTTTCTATATGCTAATTTTTCTTTTAAGTAATGTAATGGAACCAGTGTTTATCTCAACTAGGAGTCCAAAAGTCTATTTTTATGAATATCAAATTGTTACTGAGTATATTTGAAGAAGTTGAGCGCAAATGCTATATTTTTGCTAGAGGAAAGAATTATTGTGGCTTACGTCTTCCAATCTAGTGGACCAACTGCATAGTTGGGAGGGACTTTAAAGCTGTTCACAGTTAGGTCCACTAAAATATTTCACCCACAAAAAAATCCTAGTCTCTTGCATTTTTCCTGGACCACCATGGCTCATTCTAACACCACCACATTTTTTAGATTTCTGACATACAACCGTTCTTCTAAAGACCAATCACAAAATGATTTTGCTTTGCAAAAGTAAAATATTAACCATTTTAACCATTGACCAACAGAGGTTAACTAAGCCAGATCATTCCATCTGCCATGCTGCACCAGAAACCTGGGGAGGGAGGCACAGCCAGGAGGGGATGGTCCAGTGGTTACAGTATAGGCCTGGAACTTGGGAGACCAGGCTCAGTTCCCAGCTCCATCAGAGATTATCCTGGCCAACTTCAGACAAATCACTTGATCCCTTTGGACTTTAGTACTCCACCTGTGAAACAGCAGTAATAATACAACACCCTTGTGAGATGGTGAGGTGAGGAAAGAACCTAGGAAGATTGCGAGGCACTCGGATAACTATAAATAGTTATAGTTACAATACACAGGCAGAAAGGGATGTGTGATTGCAATAGGGTTAAATGCTTTCTTAGTGATAATTTGGAGGTGACATGGATGTCAGGTTAAACCAATGATTCTCAACCGGGGTGCCAGGGAGCCTTAGGGTGCTGTGGGAACCTTAGACGGCTGCCATTGGAAGTGTGAGAAGAGAAGCAGCTAAGGGCAGGCACTTCTCTCCCTGCATTGCTGCTTCCTGGGCCCCAGTGCCTGGCCCCTTTACAAAGATAAAAGCACTGTAGCAAAGGAGTTAGTTTTCAAAATGAGGGCTTCTCAGTTCACAAAGGTTACGGAGGTGCCTTGTAACTAAAAAGGCTGAGAACCACCAGGTTAGGCTATACGAAGTTCTAAGCCTCTTGAAAAGCCTATTTTGTTCTCTTTGAATACAACCTCCTTTTTTTCCATCTCTAAATTGCCTTTTTCCTTGTTTTCTGCATTAGGTATGCCTGTTGTCCACTTTTTCCTTTGGACTTTTTTTGCAGAGCCTCTTGGCCACCCTCTCCTTGTTAATTTTAGGTGTAGACTTTTCTTCTTTCTCTTTCTCTTCCATTTTAATCCCAGTTTCTTTTTCACTTTTGGGTTTAACTTAACTTTTTCTCTTCTATCTTTGCTTTGTTTCTTTCTTGCTCTTGTTTGCTCCATTTTCTACCTTGGGTTTACTCTGACAGGAGCGTTGCCCTAGTGACCAATAGACCATGTTCTTCTGCATTGTTAAATTTGTGGTAGTAAGGG